AGGGTTTAGGGTTTAGGGTAACGGGTACACTTCTACCTTACGCGCCAGACCCTTGGACCCCCAAACCCTGGCACATCTAGAGGCCGCTGGAGCGAACCTTCAACCAGAAAGCGTACTGCTAAGAGCCCGGAAAAAACTTGAGTCCTAAAACTCGAAACCCCCTAAAATCCCAAACCTTGAACCTTAACCCTAAAGCCCTAACGTCTGAAAGCCCGAAAACCCTGAACTCCCAACCACAGCGCACGTCAGCAATGACCAAACTTGGAACCTAAAGTGAAAGCCCTCAACCCCCAAACCCCTAAACCCCTAAACCCTAAATCCCTAAACCCTAAACCCTAAATCCTATACCCCTAAACCCCTAAACCCCTAAACCCCTAAACCCCCAAAGCCCTAAACCCCTAAAGCCTGAGACGGCAGGGTGGCATCCTCACCCGCTCTCGCCACGGCGGCCACGCCTGGCGCCTTGGGGAACCGCAGGCCACAATCTAAAACCCGGGGTTAAGGTTTAGGGTTTAGGGTCTCTAGACTAGAAGCCCTAAGGCCCGAAAAGCCTGAACAAGCCCAGGAGCCCTCTAAACCCTGTAGCCTTAAACCGTTCAACACAAAAGCGCATACTGATACAACAGGTGCAAAACCCTACTCTATAGCTATTCAAGACCCTAGCATCTCTTTCGGGTCCAACGTTCCAGTGTCACATCGGGTTGAACAATTCTTACTTATAAGGCTTTGCTGGTGTGAGCCCTTTTCAAGTTTTCGTTCCTGGCTAGGCTGCGGTGTCGGTGGTGTGCATCCCAAACACTGCAGCTCTTGACCCTAGCGTGGTTCCGGGGTGGACATGGCTTCGCTGCCCGGCGTCCGACTAACCCCAAATTTCAATGAAGTTCCCCCAACACACGCCCGAGTTGCTATCCCAATGCTTTGCGCACAACCTCACACGTTGAAAGAGTTCGACGGCATGGACGCTCGATGAGTTGCTCAGGCTTTGTGCCACGCGGGTTCTGCTGATTCAGGTTTGGGCTTTGGGGCTCCCCTGCTAGAAGTCTCTGGTTAAGGTAGTTGGTAGTCAATGAATCCCCTCCCTGAGTAAGCTCAATAGTACGAAAACTCCACAAAAAACTTCTAAGACCCCGAGGAAGGTTATGTAATTCTCTGCCAGAGGCCATGGACCCGCACGGCCTCAACCCGCATCGTGGCGGCTTTGGTGCTTTTTGTGTGTCATCGAGCCAGGGCTTTGGCGTTTGCGCTTAAAGGGCTGAGGGTGAAGGGTGTGGGGCTTGAGAGCGTAGGGTTGAGGGTATTGAGTCATGGCTTCAGGGGTTTCGGGTTAAGGGTTTAGGGTCTCAGGTTTCAGTGTTTAGGGCTTTAGGTTGAAGGGTGAAGTCTGAGGACGTCATGTAGGGACGAAGCCCCGGATTTCTCGTTTCTAAGCTGACACGGTCTGAACCGCGTTTCACGCAGACTTTAGAAATTTTGGCCTAAGCTCTGGAAGCAAAGTAATGATTCCGTGCTTTGTAGCGCTTGAAATTTGTAGTCCCCTCCTACCATGAAGTTGTAGAAACCCTAAACCCTAAACCCTAAAGACCGAGAAGGCGCAAGCGCATGCCCCATTGTCCATCCCCAAATGAGGAACGACACCCCGAACCCAAAGCACCAAACCTGAAGCCCGGATCCTGCGTTGTAAAGGGGGTTCAACAATCTTCGAAGGGCTGAGCAGGGTGACTGTGATTGCTCTAACATAGGGCGGGCTTCATACTTAGAACAGGGTTTTGGGGCCCATTATACTATAATTATAAAAAGAAGCTCCCAAAATAGTATTGGTAACTATTTAGGCCCCTACATTAGTTCTTGTGTGCTTGCCAGTATCGTTGTTGGTCTCTCAACCATCACAAGAGTTACGATTGTGGCTATACCTGCCGAAAAATCCTCCCGGATTCTCCTGGCGAAGGTTTTGCTGTTTCTGCTAGGATTATGGCTGATTGTGGGTTGCTGAGAGGTTTGCTTCGCTCCTGTAGGCAGCCAGACTGGTTCCGCCTGCAGACCAACTACGACCCTTGGACAGCCACTTGCCACAAGGGAAAAGGCAACTTCTTGGGGCCGCAGGGTTCACCTGAAACCCTACACCTGTTACACCGGAAGGCCCTAAACCCTGCAACCCTAAAGCGCAATCGTGGTCCCGCCGCAGTCCCGCACATATGTTGGTGTGCGACCAGTGTTCCTGCCACTGACGCCGCAGTGCCGCGCCTTCTGTTTTAAGATTGCTGTAGCAAAATATTATAACATGTGCGCCTCGTGTTTCGGTTTGAATGTAGATGCAGTTGTGCTCTGCAAGACGGACGAAACCCTTGTCTTTGAAGGCTTCCTGCAAAGGTACCGTGCAGTCCAGGGCATTCAAGCAAAAATATATTGGGTCTTACTATGAGACCACAAGTTAGGGTTTGAGAGCGTTTAGGGTTTAAGGACTGAAGGGCTCAGGACTACCGCACTACTTAGGGACTTTCCTGGACAGCCTGAACCAATTCAGCCTACAACTATCTCGAATTTGTCATCCCCGAGCCTCACAAGTTGGACCGACATCCCCCATGTCTTAAAGCCTGCACATATACATCTACGTCTTCCTCGCCCTCCAAAAGTCCTTAGCTTTCCGCGCTCTAGCCCTCGAAACCACAAGCTGAAAATTCGACACCCCACCAATCCGAAGCCCTGAGTTGTAAACCCAGGCCGTCCCGGCCTACGACAACCGACGCCAGCCGGCCGTGGCCAACGCGGCGGACTTCTGCAGCAGCTGCGGCGAAAAGTAGCTGACCATGGGATTTAAGGTGTAACAGCTTCTCACTCCTGCAGTTGTCTTTCCCCCAAGCTACCTTAAAACCCAGACCAAGCCGCCACCTTGTCCTAAACCCTAGACGCTGCAGCGTCATTTCTATGACCTGTCTCCTTGGAGTGTTTGCAAGGCAAGGGTGTGGATGAGGAGTGCATGAACAAGGCACGCTACGGGGTTGCGGGTTCGGGGTTTAGGGCCTCAGGGTGTGGCGTTCAGCTTCGCCCTTGGGGTCCAGTTCGTGAGTTTGACTTGTCAGCTTGCAAGTCGGGTGAGAGATACGATATCCGCAATTTGGGGGCACTTCCAACCGCCGTGTATAATTTGCTTTCCAAGCCCGGAGGGGAAGCTATGGAAAGCTTGCTTGTAGTTGAGTCCAGAGGTTTAGGGCCTAGGCTTTGGAGCTATTTCTGTGGAGGAGTTCCGCCCAATTGGGGCTTCCATATGCAAGAGCTGTGGTTGTCTAATTCATGTCTCGGTTTTTCATGTTTGTGTTTGTGGCTACGGTTTCGGGTTGATGGGTAGGGTGCAAGGACGAGTGTCGGGTCAACCCTGACGTCTAGAGGCCTGCTTGAAGGCTCATGGGAGCTAGCAAGTGGGTTATCAGTGATAAGTATTGTCACAGAGCGAGATGAACCCCAAACTGAGAACCCTAAACCCTAAACCCTAAACCGAGTGTAGCCTACTTTGTAAGTCCCACAAACCCTCCAGCGGAGCATGGAGCGCCAAGCTGCCTACCCGAAGCTCCGGCTTTTGGAGAACCGAGCTGAGCCCAGATCCAACAAGTGGCAGGTCTGGTTGAGTTTAGGGGGTTCTGATGTAAGACAAGTTTTCCAGGGTGCGGTTTCGCAAGCTTGCTGCTCGGAGATTGCAGGTCATGACCGCGTGGCCCACCAAGAACCACCACACGGACATCACGTCGGTGATGTGCCCACGCACAGGCTTCATGAGTGCCCCGGAAGAAATTGGAAGCTTTTGAGTCCGAAGTCCATGAAGAAAACCTTTAACTTGAAGTTCTTAGACCTTTTGTGCTGGGCTGGTTGGGTTGTCGGTTGGGGCGTGCACGTAGTGGTCCGGACTTGGTCCACATTGATTATCATCCGTCTTGCAGCATATGGCATAGACCCGTCATCGACGGGGAAGGGGTTACTTTGGCACTAGATCACCAGAAACTGTTTTGCGGAGCCTCTGGAGATTCTGCCTCTGGGGGATTGAATGACCTTACGAAGAACATGGCTTCGTGTAGTGTAGGGGGAGAGAAATGTGAAGCCATCATGGCTTTGGTGTTTCCTCCTTGCATCTTGAAGCCCCCATTTGCGACAAGGACAGAACAGAGTAGGTTTTGGGTTTCGAGTTTTTCGATTTTATGTTAGGGCTGAGAGAGGCCCTGTTTTTCTCGAAGTTTGACAAAACTGCCTGAATCACAGAACCTCAGACGGCATCCTGGAGCCAGCACCCTAAGCCACACTGTAATTCTCATACAGTACTTGACGGCTCATTGGTGTTGACGGCGGGCAGCTACAGCTGCACATATGCCATCGCCGGGATGACACTTGTCACCATAACCTGACTGTATGCATCTATGATCCTTCAAGCAAGGCCCAGTTGCTATCTTGAGGCACCGCGGTCTGGCAACATGCACCCGCGCCTGAGACGATGGTGGTTTAGGGTTTAGGACGGCTTCACGACCTTCCAGGAAAGTCGCGGGCCAAAGGTTTCGTCGATTGACGATGTTTCGGGGTGTCCGTCTACTCTAAGCCTGATATGAGAGTTTCAGAACAACAAAGGGAACCCCCAAACATAGAAGCGTCCTGAGTTCATTCTCTGTGAAAAAGCTACCCTCGCTTTCTGAAACGCTCATCTGTTGCCAGGCTTAGGGTTACCGGCTCAGCCAAGAGCTGTCGAGAAAGGCGTTTGAAAAGATCCGGGCGACGGCGACCTGCTCTTGGGCCTTTCATATAGGGGCCTAAATAATTACCAACACTATTTTGGGGCTCTTCATTGTAACTATCGTACGATATACCCTCTAATACCCTATTCTACTTGTTGAGGACCCTATAGTAACCCCCAAACCCTGAAGGCTTCGTTGTGGTTTTGGCTATCGGCCATCGGCTTCTCGCTGCCAAGATTTCACATTACATTCCTCCTCGAAAAGTTGGCTTCTGGACCCTGAACCCTGCAGCCTAGACCCAAAAGAACGTCACTGCTTCCATAAAGGAGATGAGCCCTCGTTCCCCAAGTTAAGATCCTGAAGCCTGACAGAGAAGCCCTGGCTTCAAGCCTCCAAATTCTCCTACCAGGCAAGAACTCCCCCCACCCTAGATCAATGAGCAACCTAAGCTCGTGATTTTTACTAAGCTCCAATCCCCAACTCCAGCAGCCAAATCGCGGACGGGACATGCGGAAGTCTACAAATCTTAGTGACGCAGCGTTGGATTGGAATTCAGGGCTTCAATGTGACTGCAACACTTTGCGGCTTAGGCCTTTGATTGGAGCGCGATTTAGGGTTTGGGTCTTAGGTTTCGAGTTTCAACTTTCGAGCGATACCTGCAGATGAACCTGCAGATTTATCATTGCCTTGTTCTGTCTCGGTCCCTAGAGTAGAACACAGCTCCCAAGGAGTACTACCGTGACTCCGAGTTTAGAAACTCCCTAGATACCCTTTGGAAACTCACCAACATACGTGTCAACAAAATTGTAAGGCGTCATTAAACCCCAGTGAAAGCCAGAGACCGCATTTTGTATGGGCGGTCGTGCAAGCATCGTTGCAGTGGTTGAAGAAACATAATGAGGAACCCTAAACCCTAAACCCGGAACCATTACACTATCATTATATTTATGTACTTACTGAGGCTCGTGGGTTCGCCAGTTTAGAATCTCAAAAGCTAATCCAGAATCTGTCCTCTTCATCACTACAAATTCACGTGCCTCTCTGACAAAAGAAACCCATTACAAGCGTCTAAACCCTCAGCCCAATATCCCCAAGCATCCGACAGCGGCGAAATAGCGAACACATCGTGGAATCTTGCCGCCGCCAGGCAACGAGGGCACGGCACCGCGGACGATCCATGACCGCCGGGTTGTTGGGTCAGCTTGAGGATGTGGGGTTTAGGCTTTTAAAAATGTTTAAAAGCCAAGGTTTAGGGGGCAACTGCTCTATAGGTTGAGACTAAATTCGGGGGGCAGCTTCTTGTTGCTCTTGGCCCTGCTAGAAGTTCGGGTTACGGTCCCAAGTCTCCATTTTGGAGACCCAGACCCCAAGTCGAATGGTAGAAGCACCTAAGCCCGAGATCCTATGGGTGCTCCTTAGTGCACAAGAGACCAGAAACTACCTCAAACCCTAAACTAAACCCGACATATTCCTCGCTGCATCGAAAACGATGCCACCAGGGCGGTTTCGTGCCTTTGTATTATGTTTTATAGGGGACTCAGAGGCTTCTCGTACGGGTCTGGGCGCCTTTTCAGGGGCGAAAGAGGCCAAGAATATGCTTTAGGTGGTGTTGAGGGTTTCGGGTTCAGTCGTCAGTGAGCCTTTCGGATTTCCGACGTGTCACTGACCATGAAAGAGATGAATGCCCGTACTTCGAATTTCGGATTAGAGACCCCGCATGTGGGGTTTCTGGGTGCAGAGCAGATGAAGTATGGGCATCCTTCTCCAGCTAGTTCTTGGGCATCTGGTTTTAGATTGCTTTTAGTTTTAGCGCTTATGGGTTGAAGGTTCCGGCAGGGTGGTAGGAGCTTGAATCTTCAATGCTTTAAGCTTTTATGGCAGCCCGGGGAGTTTGAAGGTATTTTCGCCTCAGGTTCGGAGCAACTGGTTAGGAGATTTGTGGCTTTTCCAACCTTAGGTGTTCAGGCCGCAAGTGTTCCGTAGCTCAGGGGACACCAGGCGGCAATGCTTCGGTCCGAACTCTAAGCCCATTAATATAGGGGCCTTAATAATTACCTACATTTGGGGGTTCCTTATTTGACCTATAATAGAAAATACACCAAAACCCTATTCTAATTATTAGGGCCCCTACATTATCCTGCCCAAGATTGAAGCCCTGAACCTCTTGGAGTCTTGGTGGCTTGCTCTTGTCCTGTGACCATCTAGAGAGGTTCAAAAGCCAAGTCCTCGATATCGGAACCTGAACAACGACTAGAATGTTGCATAGCTTTGCCGCAAGATTGCTTTATTTCTTCGCGTTGTTATCATGGTCACCATCTGGACTACGGATAAAGCGTGCACACACACACACACACACACGTGTGCGTG